GCAGATCCGTTGGGGCACTTCTCATTTTCCCTAAGGCTGCCCGCTGTGAAGGAATCACAGATTCTAGCAGCTAAAATCTGAAGTGTAATAAGCTCTCCCTGCAAACTTATTGGGGCGCTCGTCAACCTCCTCCAGGTTGCCCGCTGCAAGGGACCCCGGTCCCAGCAGTTGAAGTCTCGGGTGTATAGCACATACACACTGCCCTGACCGTCGGCTGACAGCTGCCCAGTTTACGAAGGGTCTGGGCTCAGCTGGCATCCCCCTGAGCAGAGCTGTGCATTACATGGGGTCTAGCTTGTAGGTGAGGCCTAGCGGGACGTGAGGCCTATCTATGGTTGCCAAGGGGAATTTCACCCTGGCTGGATCTTTGCTTCACCCCAGGAGCAGCTGGAGAAACCGTGAGAAAGCAGCTGGGTGGCTTGCAGGGAAACCGAAATAGCACAGGGCAGGCGGGAGCATTCCCAGGATGCCTCGAAGCCACACGCAAGAGGCAACCCACGCTGGAGAGATTTTGGGTGCGATTTCTGGCCAAGTTGGAATACGTCGGGAGCAGCAGCCAGTGTATCCATCTGGCTTTCACCCGGCAACTGGGTTTTGCCAATGCGTGTTGCCAACCCATCGATAGTAATTAGTCCCACTCGGTAATTAACATGGATTTGTCTCCTGTCCTGCACTGCTCCCAGCTTGGCTGAGTTAACCCCTTTGGGACCAGAGGCGCAATTAGGAGCCCAGCTGTGCCAGCCTGGTTCGCCCTTTCCAGACTGGCCCCCAGGGGCGATCAGACACACTCCCCCCAGCCTGGGGTCTGTGTATCTGATGGGGCTGAACAATGGGGCCTTGTCCTTTGGGTGGGGGAAGGTGATTGTTGGGGTCACTTGCTCCAGGGAGCTGCACCAAGTGGGAACCATCTCCCTGCCTTGTTCCCATGCCAGATCATGAATGGAGCTGGGGGTGGGAAGAGACATGACAGCGCCTCACAGTAATTGGCGGTAATTAGGAAGCACTATGTGTGGGGACAGGCAGCCATGGCTGAGACAGCCCCCTCCCCAGCACAGTGCAGCAAATTCAGGGTCCCTGGAGAGATCAGCCTCCTGCCAGTAGGTATCTGCCTGTTCCAGCAGGGGGCACTAGGGCAGCCCCCCAGCCGTGGAATCTGCCTCAGAATCCAACGCCCCCGGGATCTCCAAGCCCTTCACAGACAGCCCCATGCAGGGGCAGCTTAGCCCCCTTTGGCAGATGGGGAAGCCGAGGTGTTTTACCCACATTCAGCAGAGCTGGGGCTAGAACGCAGGCATCCACAGCTGGGCTTTAACCACTAGCCCACACTTCCCTCCCCTCCACCATACAGAAAGGCCGTTCCACAAGACTTCCAGTCAGCAGGGCAGCTGTCCCTTCCCAGGCCATCACCCACCTCCACCCCGGTGCCCCTTGGCATGTCGCTGGGAGATGGGTCTGGCTTGGCCACTTGCCCATCGGGGTGTCATCAACCCCCGTGCGCCCTCTTCAGCGAGCTGGAACAAAGAATCCGCTCAGCCTAAAAAAGGCCCCTTGCACCGCGGCAGCTCTAAGGCACCAGGCAGGTATAATGGAGAATTCTGGTAGATCTGGGCTCAAGGGGGTAACTGCTTGTGTGGGAAACAGAGGCACGGGGAGATTATGTGAATTGCTCACGGTCACCCAAGGGAGTAAGAAAAAAATGGGACTTCAACTCAGGAGTCCAGGTGCTCCCCTCCTCCCCCCCGCTCTAGCCACTACACACCACTCCTCTCCCACAGCGGGGGCGGGAC